TATTTGTAATTGTATTTGAGTATTGTTTATTTCTGTACTTGATGACATGAAATACAACATTGTTAACAATCATTAGTGCAGTGAAATAAACAGGCATTCATAGGGGCAAAACATACTTAAACAACTAAAATTAGCATCTGGGATGTTTTCTCCAGTTGGAGTGGAGGTTCATCTGCTTCCACAGTATCATTTCAAAATCAAATGGCAGAGAGAAATGGGACAATGGTTAAAGTACAATTTTTGGTGAGTACAAGTAAATGGTACTAAACTTAACAAAACTTGAAGATCATTGTTAATAAATAGTTGTTCATTTTGGCCAATAAAAATGTCAATACACTTACAATGTAGTCTGGGATATTGCATTGACTAGGTTGTTAACTTAAGACTGTTCTAACTAACAATCATGTTTATTAACTTAGTATGAAACAACATAGATTGATCCTCAAGTAAGGTGAAGCCTGTGTCAGGTCAGTGGCACATCCTGGCTTCTTGAGCATAAAGCATAAAGCAATTACGAGCATTTCTTCTCCCCTCTGTATGGGATACTAGTTCATTACAGGGTACCCCAGCCCCCAGCATTAGATTTGCCAGTACCCATTAACACTGTATACACCTGCGTGTCGCAAGGTACTGTGAGACATTCAACAGAACAAGCCAGTCAGGTCTCAAATCCAGATTGCTCAATCTCCAAGTCCAGTCCACTAACCAGTATTAGGGTGACTGATCTACAACCCTCAGTGAAAAAATTATACCATTGACATTATTGAGTAATGCAAGTTTAAAGTTCCTTAGACTTGATTAGTCTGTACTTTATGGCACAAAAATTAAATGCATATAGAATTCAATCCTGAACAACAAACAATCAGGAAAACTTCACAGTCAGTACCCTTTCCTTAACTGGATGTGCAAATATTTTACGTCATCGCTATGCAATTCAATGGATTGTAGTCGCATGACACAATAATCTTTCTGAAGTCTTGGTTTGACCTGAATGGAAAGAAGCACTTTGAGAGTGAAGTCCTTGTCCATGAAGACAACACAAAAATTCAGGCCAGGCCTCAAACCCAGATCACTTCATCCAGAGTCAAGCACATTAACTTTCAGGGGACTGTGCTTCCCAATAATCCTTTCATTGTCATCATCATCTTCACTGTTGTCATCTTCGTCATCATCGTCACCACCACCATCATCATCATTAACATCATCAATCATCGTTAACTCCATAGTCGTCGTCATCAACATCATATTTTATCATCAGTCCTCAATGTTAAAAGTCGTCATTACACCATGGGATACATACAAAATTAATATGACCTCAGTTCAAGATTCTGTAAATAATGACCTTGATTTAATTTTTCATGTAGCTACAACATCTTCCACATCTTGTGAAAGAGTTAACCTGGGAACTACAGAATGAATTTTCTAAGTCCCTTAATCCTCAGAAAGAGTCTGGGAATGATTGGCGCATAGTAGCTTCACGGCTTCAGTTCTCAAGCATTATTCCTCATCTGGAACAGAAGTCTAATCCAACTATTGAACTGTTAAGAGAATGCACTGTTACCACTTGTAAAGAGCTGCTGGAGATTCTTGTGGATGTCAGGAGATCTGATGTTCTGGATGACATCATGAAATTTATAAACAATGGAAGCACAAGCTATGCAGGGCTTCTGGGTGCCAAGCTTTCCAAAGAAGAGAGCCTTGATGGTGATAGCAGTTCTAAATTGTCATGGCCCTTGCAAGATTCGGGAAATTGCAGGTATTCTAAGTAAATTATAATTATTATCATTAATATGTTTTGAGGGTTTAAGTCAAAATACTCATTACAATACATTCTGCCCAAGGGTGAATGACTGGATTCATTCAATAATCTGCTTCTCAAACAATGAGTTGAAACATCAAAAGCAGAATCAATACAATGCCTCATTTTCTATGAGATACATGTATTGCACCAGAACATTACAAAACTTGCTTTCAGTAGCTTATTTTTAAAGTAGCTTATTTTTGGAAGTATTCCTTCTAGTATAGCAACATGAGATTGTAATACTGGCACTCATAAAATAAAAATTGAAACTGTTAAATCTCTAAGCTTCTGGGAATGTCTTAATGTACATTAGCTCATTAAATTTAGTTTAATTTTATAGTTCCATGGCTGACAGCAGCATGTCAAAGTTAAAGTTAGGGCCACAAGAATCAGAAGAAAATGGTAAGTGTAATTATTTGTGCCTGGTCTGGGTGAAGGGTCACAGGTTTTATGGGTAGTTACTTAATAAGTAGCATTAGACTATGTATATCAAGAGCAGTCTTGGTTCAATCCCTAACTTATGCCAGTTATTGTGTTCTTGCACAGCACAGTTTATTGAGGCTCTCTATGGGGTTAACCATTAGCTGCAAAACAGGCCAAACATTTATCTGTTAGGTGTAAAAATTGCCAAATTTTAACCCTTAGTAGCATTGGCTGTAAAATGGGCCAAAATGTAGCTGTGACAGTGTAGGTGTAAAAATTGTGAAATTTTAACCATTAAGGTATTAACCAGAAATAAAAAAAGTTAGCCACAAAAGTGTTACTGTCTGTAACTGTATTGTGTCTTTTTTGTGGCTAGTGTAATACATGTGCAAAATGCAGCTTAACACTAGCAGGGTCCGAAATTAACTTTTTTCGGCAGGCGCCAACTAGCGACTGAAATTTCTTTTTCAATCGCCAAATGGCGACTGAAATTTCTTTTTCAATCGCCAAATGGAAAAATGTGGTCGCCAAAAAGTGTCAATGAAATTTTTCTTTTGCAGCGAAACACAAACCAAAATTTTTGGTCGCCATGGGCCTGCTGGCAAAATAATTGCCATCGATGTAATCAGGAATCAAACCAGCGCTGAAATCATCTTTTGACCACTTTGACAGATCTACATTTCCACCTAACCCCTGAGAATATCTAAATCTTCATCTAATTTCTTCGCAGATGTTCTGTCTCCACCTTGTAATAAATTACCGAAAGATTTCAGAACATCTTTGGAGACCACATCGCCTGGATAAATATTCATGGCGAAAGAACGCACATGGCCTCTTGCGCCCGCTAATACGTATGTTATCGGAAACTGCTGAAAAAACATGGCAGCGAAGCTTTGTACTGATCGTCGTTGTGAGACGTTGTGGTAGATTTATAATAACAGGAAAATCGGTTTTATACTTCAAAAGCAGCAGAAAGGTAAAAAGGAAGTGACCAATTGGCCGGCGGCTATGAATTTTATTTTAATCGATTTGGCTGAAAATCAAAGTTATTGTTTGTGTAATTATNACATGGCAGCGAAGCTTCGTACTGATCGTCGCTGTGAGACGTTGTGGTAGATTTATAATAACAGGAAAATCGGTTTTATACTTCAAAAGCAGCAGAAAGGTAAAAAGGAAGTGACCAATTAGCAGGCGGCTTTGAATTTTATTTTAATCGATTTGGCTGAAAATCAAAGTTATTGTTAGTGTAATTATCGTGGCATGAAATAGTTAATCGCCCGCTGGCGACCAGTTGTGAAATTCTGGTCGCCAGTGCAAAATTTTTAGTTGCATTGGCGACCAGGAAAGCGCAGTTTCGGACCCTGCACCCCCTACCCCTCCTCTCACCCCTTATCTCTCTTGCCTGTTTGAGAGACTTGCTGTTTTCATCTGACTTTCATTTCTTCCTTTTAATTCAAGGGTTGTGATTGCTACAACTGGAATATCGTCCTTTATTGTCGCTAAGAGATACATTGATAGAAAGAGACTTGAACTGATCAAAGCAAAGCAGAAGGAAAGAATGCTAGAGGCACAGAAGGATGCCAAGTAACGTTCTGGAAAGGTTTCTGTCAAAGAAGAGCAACAGAACTATTGTGCAAGGCTGCAGATCAATCAATTTTGAAGTGCGCAATCTACCTAAAGTATAAAAGTCAAGTTCATGCATGTTTCAGCTTTTGAAACAAGAGACAATCCACAGAGTGATGTGTTAGTTGCAGAAGGAAGATTCCTTTGGTGGGGGGAGGGGGGGGGGGGGGGNCTTACTGCTTATGCTTATGCTTATGTACTAGTGGAAGTCAGCCTTTACAGTTTGATCAAACATAACCTCAAAGTAATTAGAGAATGAGCATATAAGAGGCTGGGGAAGTCATATAATGAAAGTTGTATCATAAATGCTATTTAAATTGAGTGATATTGCTACTATATTTATAGCTGCCAACTCTCACACACTACAGGTACGAGTCTCACATCTATATGTAAGGGTTGAAAACTTTGAACTCACCGCTACCGGCATGCCTATAGATGACTATTTCCCATGCCTAATACAGAGCTCTCAAGTCTCATGCATTAAGCGCGAGACTCACACAAACGAATTCAAAGTTACACTCTCACCGTGAAACTATTATTTCTCACTCGTTCAAGGTTCCTTACTGCTTCAGTCAAGTATTAACTATCTTTTTGGATATAAATATTTTCTCCTTGTTTGCGTTGTACTCACTTCAAATTCTTTCCAACAGTAGGAATTCTTGTGCAGAACCAGCGTTTCTTCGCTCAAAATGAAGGAAAACACGTCTTAGCCACTTCAGTTTTTCAAAATTTCTGGGGGGGGGGGGGGGGGGGGAGGACTCCCACATGGAAAGGTCAGGGGATTCTCATTAGAAAATTTGAACTAAACCCTTCAAGGAAACCAATCTGGGTGTTGCACGAGCTTTATTTGATCCCTAAAAGATATCACTTAAGATGGATCAGGCTTGATTAACAGTCTCTGTTCAGCAAAGGAGCCTGCAGTAGTAGATACTGGTGGAAATAAAGTCTGATAATAGAGATAAGATCGTTTTTCTATTATTTTATGGTTAGCAATAGTGGCATTATGTCATGAACACCTTACATGAGATCAAAATCCTTGATTTATACCCCAAAGTGAGACGGCAAGCAGCCCTGACCTTTTCAAATGGGAATTCCCCCAGGAAGGAAAATGCACATTGTGTTGTACCAGAAAATATCCATATGCTGCCCACAGAAGGCACTTTGGTTTAAACCCTGCAAGCCTTCGATTGCCAGTCTGCAATCTTTGAAAAATAGTGAATAAAAAGCGCGATTGTCGAAATATATACGTAAAAAGTGTGAAGTACAAAAAATTACAGTAAGAACGAAGAAATACTTGCGAGGAAATAAAATGCTAATATGGGGTACATAAAAGAATAAAATATTGTCTAGGTAATGGTTTTGAGTTATTGTTCGATTGAATTGTAATTGCGGTATGGCCAGGATTCTAAAGTCTTACTCACGCGAAAGTAGAGGAGTTCACGCTCTAAGGAACATTACGGGTCATCAGGGCAAGATTGCAAAGAAACAAAGCGGTAAAATATACGTTTTTCTTCATATTTCCGTTTTGAGTTTCATTTTTGAAAACAAAATTTTACTGTAAATAGAGAAACCCCTTTTCTACATTTATTAGCGTTTTTGAGTCGATTGAGCTGGGTATTAGCCTACTTATCAGAGTAACGGAGACGTTATTTTGTGGCTTGAGCGGCTAAGACTTGATCAAATAATTCGGTTTTAACCGTGAAAATAGTTCCTACGCCCACAACAATCACTTGATCGGCTCAAAACAGCTAGCAAACATAGAAAAGGGGTTTCTCTGTCAACAGTATATGTTTCGTCTCCAAATGTGAAATCAGAATGGAAATATAAAGAAAAACATTTGTTTTACGGCTTTGCTTCTTTGTAAATTTGCCCTGATTACCCATATAATGCCCCAGAGGGCGTGAACCCCTCTATTTCTCTTGTCAATAACATGGGCGTTATTTGAGTCAATAGAGTGACCGTTCAACCCAATTAGGAATTATATTATATTTTAACCAGAGAAGGTTTTTAAATTTTAATTCAATATTATCTTAAATTCAAAGGGCTGATGCCATATTTTTGCTCACAGGTGTTTTGAGTAAAACTTAATTTAGTGTAATCACATTAAAATGGCGTTTGATATTTTCTGTCACACAATGCAGAACCATACTACACCATACATGATAGAACTACAATGTACTAATACTTCGTGAAATTTGCGGCATAATTGGAAGAATGACTTTCTTAAACCTTTTTGGGAATGGTCTTTTCAATTAGTGAAATCTTATTTTAAATCTGCTAAATTCTGCTTGCCACTTAGAAAATAGTACTTCAATTTACCTTAAAGTTGAATAGCAACTCTTCAAATCGAGTCTTAACACATAGTCTTATACTTTGCAAGATGTCACTTTGGTACTTTCTCACTTTGCGAAATGGTACTTTAAATTACTTCGCGAAATGTTAATACGTAGTTTGTGAAGTGGTACTTCACGTTACTTTGCGAAATGTCACTTTACACTCTTTGAAATATTGCTTATTGAAGCCAGTACTTCATTAAAAGTTTGGATATGTTCATTTTTCATGACACCCGTTAATTTCCCACGTTACGACCCGGCTTGTAACGCATATTTCTCAGAAAAAAAGGTTTGGTTTCGTCTCAAAAAGGTACCGCAAGGCAAACTTCGGAAAACTCGCCATGAACGTAACTGAATCTAAGGAGGGATCCTTGATTAAAATGTGTCCCATGAACGAGATGGTTTGGAAGCAGGAGTACCAGGTGGAAAAGATTGCCTTGGCCATGACAACAATAATCCTGAACATCCTAAGACAAGACCGTGATTGCAAAACAAGTATAACATTTTGCTGGCCTGTTTGGCGGGAACAGACCTGTTTGTAGGAGCGGCTTCACAATCGACTTTCATTGCGGGACAGATTTATGTCATAAAAGGTTTATCTCTAATTGAATATTGCCGATACCATAAGAAAGGCTATCTTATCTTTTA